TCCTGTTATCTGAGAAATTATTTCTGATTTCTTTTTTTCCAGATCCCCTTTTGTTGCCAGTTCAGTGAGTCCAGGTGGTTGAGTATCAGAGTGTTCCATCTCATTTCCCTTTGGGGTTGCTCTAGGTGATCTGGAAGTCTGGTTTGGGATGTATTTATGTGTTTTCTCATTTCAACTGCAGTGGGGGGCTGTTAGTGTCTGCATGGATTACCTCCTCTGAGCTGGGAGAGGTGGGACAGCGGCCAGGAATGGCAGTAGGAATTCTGACCCAAAAGCCCTTTTCTGTGGGCTGGCAGCAGTGGGAGGGATGGTGGCTGGGAAGCCCCTTCCTCTGGACCAAGAGCAGTGGGATGGCTGCTCAGAATCCCCTACCTCTGGGCCAGGAGCAGCGGGACTCAGTACCTTGGTCTGGTGGTCTGGTGTCCTCTGTGACTTTGTAGTGTGGAACCAGGTGGCTACCTGTCTGCAGCAGGGTGATTCAGCATCTTCTGCTTGACTGGGGACCTCGGTAGGGCATGGGCAGACCTGCCTGTCTGCAGTGGGGTGATTTGGCTTGTTCTGTACCCCTAAGGTCCTTTTTATGAGGTCCTGTTTCAGGGAAGTGCAGCAGAGAGGATCCAGGTACACTCGGGGTTCAAGTGTGAAGAGAGGAGTGACTGAGGAAGCCCTGCCCCAGAGGGAGAGTCAGCTAACTACCCAGATCTACCCCTCCTGTGAGCTCTGGACTACACAGGGTCTGGTTTGTTACAATGAAGTTCAGGCTCCCTGTGCCCTGGGAGGTAGAGCCTTCCTGGGAGGGGAACAGAGCACTAATGTTATATTTTAATCACAGCATTCCTAAGTAAATTTGTATGTTCCCTTTTTGTCTTATAACATTGACAACAAAAATTAATCCAACATGAGAAACCATTTCTACTTACAAAAATAGCAAAAAGCTTTAAATGGTTCAGTACCAAGGAATGATGTACAAGTAGATGTGACTCTACTGACATTCTCATCATGGTGATTTGGACACATTATCATCCTTTTGGAAGACATTTTGTCATGGACCACCCATGGTTCCAGTGTGTAAACCCTTTGATAGAGTGGTTCTAGTGTGGGGCAGAGGGGGTAGATAAATTCCCACATTTTGTAGTAGAAGAAATGGGAGATATCATATAGTCCAACTAAGTAGAAAGTAAATCCCCTAGCATGCTGGAATAGCACAGTCTAGTTTTAAATTCTTTGAAGTACCACTAACACATGATAACAGCAAATAATATTAACAGAATATTAAGAAAAGAGAAGACAGTTGCAGTAGAATTGCACATCCCAATACCATTTCCTTGAAGTTCAGAACTATACAAAATGAAATTATATATTATTTACCAATACATTTGTTTTTGGGAAAAAGGAAAGTAAAGCAATGAGAATGATGAGCGTGGTATGATTGGGGACTGATATACAGTACCTCGAGAGATAGGGACAGTATTTCATTCCTGAGAAATGTTACAATGCCTTCCAGTTTCATTTTACTATCATTTCCTGCATCATTTCCATATCTTAATACACCATTTTGTAAATTTTAAATACAAAGTCACAATATAATGCAAACAACCCATAGGATACAAAATTGAACATTGTTTTAAAATGGCCAACATTGATTCTTATCTTATATAAAGCATAAAAAGGGAGCAGAAAACTAAGTTCTTGTGACTGTTTTGTGATCTAGAGCAATGTCTTTATTTCCAGAATCTTAAGGACTCAATGTGGTTTTCTGTTTTGAAACAGTTGGCTGCTGTCTTCCAACTGTGCTGTCCACAACAGGCTAGATTCCGGTAAAAACACCCATGATGGTACAAACTTGGGCTCTGGTGATCCTGCAGTGTGTGGAACATGCTTCTTGGCCAGAGGCATTGATTGGGTAACTGGAAGTATGGTACTGTGGCAGTTTCTCTTTCTACTACTCTCCAGGTAGTAGCCCCCGGCTTCCAGCAAGTTCCTACATATTTTGAGAACAGTTTAGGTGCAATAGAACATTTTTTTGTAAATTAAGTCAGTTGAGTATAAGCTGAAGAGTGTTTTTATTGTCTTTTCACTCCACATAGACTGGTTCTGCTACAAATAATGTGCATCCTTTTGGCTGGCAACACTTAGTAAAGTTTTATGCAGCTTTCCTCACCACATAATGCTGTCATTGAAGAGCAAGCTGGACTGACTGGATGGTAAGGGCTATGTATTTTTCAGTCATTTGACTGGGCAGATAAAAACAAAGCTGCGGTGATGACATAGGACCACAAGTGCATCATATAAACTGTTGTGTAAATAATTGTCATCTGCTATAGAATATTCCAACAGAGGCCAATGAAGTTTGTTTTTCTTGGTACCGGGGATTGAACTCAGGACCTCACGCTTGCCAGGCGGGTTTGTGCTCCTGAGCTATATCCCCAGCCCAGAAGCCATTGAATTTTAAAATAGGCTTCTGTATAAGTTTCCAGAGGACTGACAAGGAGTGGAAATATAGGCCATTAATGTTACCAATGGATGGTTCCAAGATAAGAAGAGGCTACAGGAGATAAGTTACATATTTGTATGTTTAATTTGATAAAACAAGCTGTACTGATGTATTTTAACCCATTAAAAATATGAGGCAAACTAATTAAAAGTCATATGATGAAATAATTGGTTTTCTTTCAAAGGCTGTGGGAAAAATTTCTGATTTAATTTTCAATCTACTTTATGCTTTGCTATATTTCTAAAAGAGCCAAGTGATTGTGAAATACATACCGGGGACTTTCTCTACTCAGACTACTTCTCTAAACATACCCCAGTACGTGCTCCTCAGTGCCCTGGGAATATTCCCACTTGTGGAGCCTTTACTACTTCATCTAATTATAGTATTTTCTCCCTTCTTACTGGTTCACCTATTCCCCCCAATTATATCCATCCATTAGGAAATAAAGTCTGTATGGACAAAAAGATTTAACAATATTTGAGTTTGATAAAAATTCTTAGAAAATATACTTCAACAGTATTGGTGTAGATCTTAATATCTTTTAGGAGCTAACTTACTTTGTGAAACACTGGATGTGGTCTACAGAGTTTTCAAATGTATGTGGCCACCAAGAAAGTCCCTTGCTGTTCACTAGCACTCCATTTCCACACAGCTACACCTCCACATGTTGCACTTTCCAGCCGTGAGCAGCCCTCCACCAGTGCAAGGCTTGATCAGGCTTTTGATGCACTTGTGTCTCATTTTAAGTGTCGTTTTTCATGAACAAAGGGTTCAGGGACTGCAATTCACAACTCAGCCTCCAGAAGTGCAACTTTCCAACTCTTTGTACTCGTCGCGCCTTTATAAAAGATTCCTTGCTGCGACATGAGCACATTTTTCTCAGCCCATTAGAGCAGGGAAGGTGATGAGGGCCAAGTGATCTGCCCGAATGATGAATGCCTGACTGTGCATCCAGAGGAGCTGGGTCAGCTCAGAAAGGGATAGCTCTTCTCAAGCATTGCACTCTACATGTGCTTTACTACCCTCACCTTCATGTTGGGCCCACACTTTCTATAAATTTCAAAAATCGTGAACGACTCTCAAGAACAACAATAAAAATTGTCAAAATCAAAGAAGGTATGTCATGAAGGATTCAACGATTTTGGTTTTTTATCAAAGTGACAAAGTTATGATTTGATCAATATTAAATAGAAAAAAGCAAATCCATTCTGACTGAGACTCATTTAAATATAACCAAGTGTCAGCATAATTTCTCTAACCATACACACCTGCTTCACACTCACCTCTACCCAGACATAGTAGACAAAGAGAAGATGCAAATTACTAATACCAAGGGTAAAACGGGCTGTCACCATAGACTGTACAGATAGTAAAAGGAGAAAATATCATGAACATCTTTATGCCATTATCTCAACTCATATTGGTGAAATATACAGATTCTTAAAAGACATAAGCTACCAAATTCCACTCAAAAGACATATCTTTTACAGCAATTCATTTATTAAAAAGATAATTGAATTTACATCTCAAAACTTTCGCATTAGAAAACATTGCTTCTTTGGTTCTGTGGTAAAGCCTATCAAATAGTGAAATAATAAATAACAGCAATCCTATATGAACTCACCTAGAAAACTGTAGAAGAGCTATCTTTAACACATTTTATGAGGCTTTCTTTACCGCACTATGAGGTAATAAGGATAAAACATTGTGAAGAATATATTTTAGAAACTGTATATAAATATGAATAAAAAATCTGAAGATGTTAGCAAACCAAATCAAGCAATATATAAAAAGGATGCTATTTCATAATAATGTGAGATTCACCCACAGAATACAAGGTTCACATTCCAAAAACAATGCACTTCACAGTATTAACTAAAAAGGAAACAGTATATGATAACGATGATAGAAACAGGTAAGCACAAAATCCAAAACCTACTGGATAATGTTAAAAACAGTGAGGAGAGCTTCCTTAACCTAGTAAATTTATAAAATCCCTACACTAACTAACATCACACTTAGTGGCTATGGACTGCTGTTCCCTCTCATCAGTTACAAGAAGATGGTGACCAGCTCAGTACTTCTAGTGAATATTATATTGGAAGTCCTAGCCAGGGCAATAAAGAAGCAGAAATAAAGGGCCTAAAGACTGGAAAGATTAAGGAAGGAACACTAATGATCCATGATATCATTGTATACATAAAACACATCAAAGAATAAAACATATTCTACAAGAAGGTGAGATATATATTATAAGATGTTGTTGTGTGTAAATAAATTGACTGTAATTTGATACTTTTCAAGCAATTAGAAAGAAAAATTTAACAATTTGAAACAATACTAAAAGATAAAATAGTTGTATATAAATCTAACCACATAGGTGTTAAGATGAAATCTACCATAGATTGTAAATTTTAAAAAACTAAAAGCAGAGACTGGTAGCTTCAGGGAAATCCAGATGATAATCTTTCCAAGATTTTAAGAGAAAATAACTCATACTTCTAAAATCTGCACAGAAAGGAAAAGAATAACTCCAAATCCAATTCTGAAAAAAGAAAAAATTTTCCTGATTGCAAAAGTTACTTCATAGGTAATTAATCAAAAGAGCATTGTAACTCCATAAAGACTGACATTTAGGTGAATGAAACAGAATGGAGGCCAGAAGTAGACCCTTTCTTACATGGTCATTTATTTTGGCCATTGAGTAGGAAAAACACACTGTGCAAATCAATATGGAGATTCCTGAAAAATCTGAAAGTAAAGAGTCCACTTGACCTAGTTATTCCCCTTCTAGGTCTCTTCCCCAAAGGCTTAAAGACATCAAATTACAGAGATACAGTTGTACCCATGTTTATAGCAGCACAACTCATAATAGTTAAATCTTGCAAGCGGCCTATGTGTTCCCCAGAAGATGAATGGTCAAATAAAATGTGGTATTTTATACCAAATGGAATGCTGTACCATATAAAGAAGGGTAAACTTGAGTCATTAGTAAGAACCCAAAGTTCTGGCTGCAAAATCCGTACCATGCTCTCAGATCAGCGGCCTCGCTCCCATATTATTCAAAACCTCCTCTGATGGCAGTGGGAACTTTTACTTTCTTGGACTCAATGAAAATAATCTGAAGAATAGGAAATAGCAGATGCCTGTTTTGCAGAGTTTGTTACTTGGAAAAACAGCACAGTTTCCTAAGGCCTGAGAAGTAAGATTGCTATAAACTGTTTAGATTTTATTTTTTTATTTCAATTTGCCTAGATCACTGCCATTCATTTGCTCTTTTACAGAAGCAGTTATGAAATATACTGTCCAGAAGAGGGAACCAAAAACTCAAAAGATTTTTTAAAAGGAGCTATTAAAATCTCAGACAGTATTCAAGAGAACAAGAAGATCCTGTGTGAAACTCAGAACTCTTCTGGGGAGTGTTCCTCCCTTGTTGGCTGCAGAGAACCACACCTGCCCTTTGCGGTGTAAACAAGTACAATCCTCTGAGAATCCCAGGTGGTGCACTGGTTTAAAAAAATAAATAAGGAGGGGAAGAAGGGTCAAAGGGAGAGGGAGGAATGGAAGAAAAAAGAAGCAATATACATCATGTACAGGTGCAAATTCCCTATGAGGAGTGTTACCTTTATGTATATCTAAAATGTACCAGTAAATGTTTTGCTTTAAGATAAAACAAAATAATGGTATAGATACAGCACATTTACTTAATCAAGACACCCATTATGGGGAAGACATCATCTGGAGCTGGAGGAGATAAAGACCAGACCGGGAACACACAGGTACCATCTATGTACGACAGCAGCAGGTTTATATCCGTTACTTTTGTGTCAAATTCTCCCTAGAGTATATGCAGTGTTTAGGGGATTGTGTTAGTCAGCTTTCTGTCACAATAACAAAGAGCCAAGACAATCAGTTTATGAAGACAAAATTTTATTTTGGCTCACAGTCTTGGAGGTTCCAGTTCATGACATGGTGGAGAAACGGGTTTGGGCTGGAATGCATGGTGGAACAAAGCCTCTACCTCCTGGCTGCGGAGTGGCAGACAGAGGATGAGACTGAGGCGGTTGCCCGGGACTCCCACTGGGCCTTGGCTCTTACAGCTTGCACTACCTGCAAACAGCACCACACTGGGGTCAACCTTTGACAGGGGCCTTTGGGGGATGCTCAGTATCCAAACTGCCACAGAGACAATGGAGTGCATGCGGGAGGCCATCAGCAGTGGGGAGACTGAAGGGGGTGCAGAGTGGAGCAGCAAGGCTTGAACTGGAGACCATGGCAGGAAGGGAAGAAGAAGGAGGACCCTGAAGAATTGTGACGAGCACAGCAAATACCTTGTTTCTAGCAAAGTTCAGTCACTTCACTGATAGGAAAATTCTATCTTGGAGGTTTGGCTGTTTTAAAATTTTCTATAGCTATTATCATTTTGAGCCACACTTTTAAAAGCTCCAAATGATTAGTGTGCAAAATGGAAATTAGTTCTTGAGGTTACCTTTACCATCTTGAAAAGCATAAAACTTTGAGAAACTTTTTTTTTGGTACCGGGGATTGAACTCAGGACTTTGCGCTTGCAAGGCAAGTGTGGCAGCACTGAGCTAAATCCCTGGCAAGAAACTTAATTTTACAGATTACTGTTTTCTGTATCCACTCACATTAGATCAGAGATGTGTAGGATGCCTTTTTAATTAAGAAAATAATTTTAATAATAAAAATAACATATTCATTTAGTGATATCCCATGTTCCAGACATTAATCTGTTTTCTCCAATCTTCACAAGTCTAAGGAAAGAATTATTATTCATCCCATTTTATCAACTTACCCAGCTCCAAAATCTTTAGCTTTGACCTGAAGACTGTTTGCCTGGCCCCAAAGCTAGGCACATAGCCACGGCGTGAGAACATACCTATGATATTCCTTGTGAAGAGTAAATGAGAAAATAGACTAGGAGACATCTGTTTTTCCATTGAAGACACTGTGCCTTACCATGTCCTTATTGGAATAACCCAAGCAAAGATAAAGGTCATGATGTCTCATGACATAGTGCTGCCTGCAACTCTGTGTCTTCCTCAGACATTGACAGATATTTCAAAAGAATCAAATTACATATTTTGCTAGTTTTTATTGGCTCCTCTTTGAATTGTCCTGATGTGCCAGAGAAGAAGCATGTCAGTATCACATGCCCATCACACAGAACCACATTTCTTGTCACAGTACAATGCAAGTTGGAGAAATTGAAGCTCAACTCATGTCAGCGGTCTCATCTTCTAGACTTAGTAGTAAAGGTGTGAGGTTCTTGCCGCATGTGCATTTATCTCTTCATGGACTTTTCACTCACCATGTGTGGAATGCCTTCACACAGCACATAAGACTCAGACCCAGTTTCCCAGCAAAACTGCTTGGTACTCACTCTGCTCTTTAGAATCTTCATAGAATTATTTAAGACAGCAAGAGTGCTTCCCTGGGGAAACACAAGAACACTGCAAAACTACAGTCACTAGCAAAATGTGGTTTCATTATGGTCAGTATGGCTTCCTTAACACTTAAACATTGAATATTTTTCTTCTTCCTCATAACGTAAAGATGATTCCAACTTTTCATTTAATTTCCCCTTAAAAATCTCCTTTTCCCCTTTTCATTCATACTGCTATAGTTCTCCCTCAGTCTTTCCCTTCCCTTTACTTGACAAAGATTCGTAGCACTACTTTTTGAACAGGGGTGGTGATAAATCTGTCACACTGATCTAGCTCTGCAGTCCCCAGCTAACAGGAAATGCACACTTTCATCTACTTTCTTCCACTGGGCCATAATCTATGAACAAAATGATGAAAACGGCACTTGATTGATCAACTTGGTTGGGTCTCTTCATACCTAATTCATTTGAGAGAAAAGGTCTCAGTGAAAATGAAGAGCAGATAAAGTACAAATAGTAATAGTTTTATCATTGGAATTTCCTTGTGAAAATTCTAAATTGCAAAGTTCCTGATGAGAAAATGATTTGAAGGGCAAAAAATCTACGGGATTCAAACTTCTCTAGCCATACTTACAGGCTGCTTTAATAAGTACAGTGTGGTAGAGGTAATGGTTTTTTTAACTGGGTAAATTATTGGTCACACTTATTGATTTTAAGCTTTCGATCACAGAAGGTAGTAAATTTTTTCTGTATATCATCATGGACACTAGTTCTGGCTAAATACACTTCAATACAACATTAAGCTAAAACATAATGGAAATGGAAGCCTCAGTTAAAAATAAGTTATGGTTGTTATGATCAAAGCATTTTAAGAATTTCCATGTTGACTCTGCAACCCTAAGTGGTTTTAGGGCTAGAATATTTACTTCAGACAAAAGACACCTCTTCTTCTCAAACTGACGTTGATGTCCAATGGCCCAATAATATGTCCTTTTTTTCTCCATTCCTTTTTATTTTTAATTAACACATGATAATTATATATAATTGCAGAGTGGAGCATGATATTTCAATATACATAAACAATGTATAATGAACAAATAATTAACATACCCATCACCTCAAAAATGTATCACTTTTTGTGTTGGGAAGATTCAAAGTCCTTTCTTATAATAATTTAAAAATATACGCTATTGCTGACTCTACTCAACCCAGTGTGGTGTAGAACACTATAATGGAGTCCTCCTGTCTCTTGGTACTGTTCTGCTCACCAAGCTGCCATGGGGACTGTGGTGCTCATGGTGACCTCGCTGTGGTGTCAGAGAGATCCTCAGAGCAGCCACAGCCAGCCCGCTGCAGCCCAGGGCCCAGCACATCTCACCTGGCAGGCTACAAGGCAGGCTCTTGCTGGTGATGGCTGTGCTCTCAGGGGTGGCCCCAGCCTTGCTGGTCAGGCAGTTCCTCGGGTGAAGCAAACTGGCCACTCTGTGGAGGTTCTAGGATGATTTGGGGGCAGAAAAGGCCACGATCATTCAAGCAGACCTGAGTTCAAAGCCCTGACTCCTCCCCAAGTCTCCTCCCACCCTTCACTGGATAGCAGAGGAATAAGGGCCTCCTTCCTGAGAGGTCTGAAGTGTGTGGTGTTCCTCCCATGCCAAAGATAAGTCACATGTACTATTCTAATCAGCAGCAGCTTTGCTACTAATATCACTTCTCTATTTTCTGAAAATGCCCATCTGTGTGTCTCTTTTCATAGACCACTTGCAATCAGGAGAGAACAGGTGATTAGAGTGGGTTGGGTCTAACATAATTCTTTCCAGAGACACAAAATACCTTTTCACTCTTCAAAATCAACCTCATCTAAAAGGTTGTTTCCCTTTAGATTATCTCAATATGCCAGATGTTGCTGCACCAGCTCCACCTTACTGTAGACCTTAAATACTTACTAAAATTATTGTAAATCCTTCCAAGTCAGTTTCCCAGTCTTCTGAGACACCCAAAATATTAATCATCATAAATATAAACAGTCACTATGAAACACGATTTCCATCAAGCTCTATACTATTCTGCAGGCTCTCTGCCTTGGTCAAGTGCAGGTTCCTGGACCTGAATTCCAGGATCTCCCACCATCTGCACCTGTCCCGCTTATTCCAAGTCCACACTGTGGGAGGGCTAGGGACACAGGACTCAGAAATGGACACAGCAGTCTCCTTCCAAAAGTGGCTGAGGACATTCTTAAATCAGAGGCAAAGTGATAAAAGGGGGAAACGCATAGCATCAGGAATGGACACAGAAAAATAGAGTGAAAATGTGGTTAAATACAGTGAGCTATTACTTTCATGATGAATTTTCCAAATTGTGCTTGTGGACTGAAGCTGCCAGCTTAAAGAAAGGTGGAGATTCCCCCAAAGATGATGAGCTTAACTGAAACGAGTAGGACATTTGCAAATGTGGAATATATGTGCCACGGTGCACTATGGAAGTATGCAGGGAGGCAAAGGAAACAAGGGTTTTTACAGGTAAAATGAGGATGGTTACATAAGTTGTTCTCTGAGATACAGGAGTATATCAGCCTGAGGATAGACGGGCAATGTCTGGGACCTTACAGAGAGAGTGTGTGTGCGTGCACATGCATGTGTGAGATTATAGTTCTGGTAGATTACTTTGTGATAATTCTTGTTATCAGACATATATGCATGAAATCTTGTCCCTCAAAACTTCCTGGCCTCATTTATTTGTTTAGGATTTGAAACAAGTGATTGTATATTGATTCTGACAACTTCCACAAAGCACAAATTACTATATTGTCTGATATGGTTTTCAATGTATGTAAATAAAATATTTAACAGAAATATATAAAGTAAGGAGGGCAAACTGATCTAAATAGTGATAAGATTTCTCTATTTCGAATGACAAAATATAGATACCAGTGAAATGCAGTAAGTTATGTATATACAATGTAAATCCTAAACTAAACAGAAAATTTGTACAAAGTTGTATACTCAAAAAACCAAATGGAATTTTTAAGATACTACTTTCCCTCAGCAAGGGTAGAATCTGTGTTCTTGCAGGGTGAATCAGCCAAAACCAATAACTCCTTCATTCATTCTCACATGTGCCCATGAATCCTGGGACTGAAAGAGGGCTAGAGGTTGAGTTTTTTGA